CTGAGTGTGTTGGTGCTTTGTGGAAATGTACTTAAAACACACACAACAGTGAAAAGACTCAGCAAACATCCTGTGAATCTGTGTAAACCAGAGCGTGATCATGAATCAACGTAGTCCAAGCTGATAGACGCAAGGCCTGCAGCTGAGCCGAAGGGGAGACACATCTTCTTTCATCCTTCCTCTTTTACCTACACAACCTTTTCAGCTTTAATAAATCTCATTTTCCGTCCTTATTTTCCTCTTCCTTCCTCTGTTTTGTCTTTCACCGTCATCCTCACCCGTGTACTTATATCCCCTCTCAGAACGTCTTTCTATAACATCCACGTCTCCTGTTCTGTATTAATTGTCCTCGTCTCTCCTCACCTTCTCATCTCAGTATTATCTCATTCTTTATCTGTTCTTCCTTCATGTTTTCTCATTCATGCAGTTCATAAAATGTTTAGAAAATGTTTCATTTGTGAGACCGTTGAAAGAATGGTTTGGTATTTCTAAACTGAAGCGTGTTTTAGGGGGAAACAAAAGTTTCTTCATTCCACGAGGTTTTTACTTTTTATATTTTACAAAACATTGTACCTCACTAAAACATTTACTAAAGTTTTACCTAGATCCGTTTTCAACTTTGTAACTCCGATGGAGAAATAGAAATGCCAGTTTGAAAACTATTGGAATCACTGCCAACATACATGAAGGTATCTTGCTTGAAAGGTGCCTCCCTAGTTGTAAAACAGCAGAAAGTCACTTGAGACTTGACCCTGCTCAGACTAGCCATTAGCTCAAAAGTGAGTTCCTTTAAAGAGCTATATGCAACAGGTAAAGCATTAATTATTAATGAACTTTTAACAGAAACCAAAATCCATGCACATATATCTACCGTAATTTCCAGACTATTGAGTGCACCTGAATATAAACTGAGTCCACTAAATAAATAAATAAAATGTGTACATATATAGGCCACACTTGTCTATAAGCTGCGAGTGTCCACGTTGTAATGTGAGATATTTACACAGAAAGATTTTTTAAAACTTTTAATTAAATACTGTAACATGACAGCACACAGCTACGAGAGACATGTGCGGCTCTTGATGTAGATCAAGAATCAACCACTAGATGGCATCTTATAGACTTTATTTTACTGTTCAACCCAAAGACAGAGTGAACCCCACAGGTCTTCATGACAACTATCTCCTCACTCATCGTTGCTTTACTGAATGGCCGAACACAAACTAACACATGATGAACACATAAACTAAGCTAACAAGACCAGACTGATCACTAAAAGAATAATGCTAAACAGCTAACCGAAATGATTAACAATGAACATAAATTCTACCAATAATCCCTCTTTGAGGTCATGTGACCAGCAGTTTGGTAAAACGACCTGTTCAGTAATTTCATTGGTCAGATTTTTTTTCACCTTTATTTAAACAGGTAGCCTTATTGAGTCACGAGGACCCACCCCCAAAGAGACGTGTATTGGACAGCTACGTATGTGAGTGCGCAGTTGTGACAAGGCTAAATGTTTAGGTGTCAAGAAGCTCGTTAGCCCATTAGCCCATCAAAAAAAAAAAATCCATAAATTAGCCGCAGCATTGTATAAGTCATGGTGTTCAAAGCATGTGGAAAAAGTAGCGACTTATAGTCCAGAAATTACGGTAAACATTCTTTACCATCTTTTATCTCCTGTCATATCTCTCCTACAATGTCACACCATCTTCCTTATCCTTTCAGCTTTGTCCTGACATAACATTATTAAAATTAACAAAATTATGAAGCATCTCATTGACTAAAATTGTTTTAAAAGCCATGTACAAAGCAAAGCTTCATATTAAACCAGCTGTCACTTTATGTCTCATCTGAGATTCTCTTTCCTTTAAACCATTTCATAGTGAACACAGACACACCCAAAGGAATTGACAAGCAAAATGATTGAAAAAGCCAATCCAATTTACGGCTAGCAAAGGCTTATCGACTCCAGTGTGCTGCTCAAAATAAAGCCAGGATGCCCAGCTGAGGAGCTGCTGTTTCCACTTGATTAAATGCAAACACAACTTTCTGTGTCACCACACAGATGCAACAACAGGTTTCCATTTCCTCACTTTTACACAAATGTCATGTTTCTTCATTTGATTTCTATTTTTACTGCATTAAACAAGACTTGTCTCTGCTGCCTCTTTTTATATTCAAAACTTGTTTTCTTATTATGTTCTTTCAGAATTCATCATTTATTTCAACCGTCTGTTGAACTCACAGACATTAAAAACCTGACTGCAGTCAGAATATGTTTTCTTGCAGAATACCATAAAGTCAATGTTTCCACAGCCCTGGACTTAAATGGTTTCTGACCCAGTTTTCAAAGAACCACTGACACAGGTGCTTTTCTCTCACACCATCACATTGCATTACTGCTGACACCTGAACCGACAGACTACAAACATAACCTCAGACATTTAGATCTTGTATTTCCACCTCGGCAGGACCCAAATTATAATTTCTGCTCCAAAGCAGCTTGTTTCAGCTGCAGCTTCTAAATAAGACGCATCAACAAAATGACCTTTCTACATCCTGTTTGAACCATCGGAGTCCTGATCCCATCAAAAGCAATCTCGCACCATGACGTCGTGACAGCCGCCCCTCCGCTGCCCTTAAGACACGACAGAGCCGGGCAGGGTTCAGTCCAGAACCACCGTCATGGTGCCAGGACTGAAAATAACCACACAGCACGCAGATATCAGCTCGTGAGTGTTTCTACAAATGTCTCCAACTGTATCTTTAATAGCGAACAGCAGAGCAATGGGTTACAAAATGAAAAATGAAAGTTAAATCAAACCAAACAAGTGAATAATAAAGGTGAGAGTAATAATTACTGTCTGTCACCTCTGGGAAATGTTTTACCATCTTTCAGTTTTTAGTTTAGTTTTTTCTATATTCATGCCTTTGTTCTGTTCCATTCCTTTAATTATAGCAGAAGCACGACGTAATGAAGTAGACTTTGTTGATTATTAGACAAGTTCAGGAACCAATAGATTATAAAACTATATGGCTAGAATGAATAATTTGTGTTATTAATTTCACAATTTAACACATGACCTTGTGTGTGTATGAGTCGTTTTGAGCTAACGACCCATTTTGTGGATCACTAAACTTAAATTCTGTTAGAAATGTGGACAAAACCAGAACAATATCACAAGCGTCAAAGCATTGATTGAGCTGTGAATATTTTCCTTATTTTCTTTTCTTCGTGCCTCCCTCTAAGGAGCCTGTTGCCTATTTTTATTATGTTATGTAAAACGTGACGAAGGGAAAGGTGTAGTGAAACGTCAACAGGTCGAACAAACAGCTCACTGCAGATAATGCCAAGTGCTGTGGTCTCTAATGAGCAATGTTTTCTCCTCCAAGTTGTGTGTACGTGTTTGTGTGTGCACATGCATGCGTGTGTGTGTTTGTCAGACGAGGACATGGAGGCTCAACACCAGAGCAGAGGCCTGTGGGTTTAATTTTAGAGCTTTGGTTTAATGAGAGGCCGAGCAGAGCTATAGATGATGCTGTTCCCACAGTGAAGTGTCCTTACCGCCAAAGAGAAGTGAAATAATTAGCAGTGGAAAACACTCGTCTTCCTCTAACAGGAATTTACTTCAAAAGACAGGTTGAATAAGAAATGTGTTCTCTGATAATGTTTTTAAAAACTTCTTGAAATCGATTATAGAAGGACTGTAGGTTATCATTTGAAGAACTATTTCTTCAACATTATAATCTAGAAAGTTTGATCCTGGTTGCAGAAAATATGCCACACACACGATATAAACATATTTATACACATACACACACACACAGACACAAACACACACATATATAATAATAATAGTAACAAGTGCTATGTGTTGTCATTATTGCACGCCATACGATGACGAAATTAGTTCTCTGCATTTAACCCATCACACCTGCGATACACCCAGGTGGAGCAGTTGGCAGCTATGGAAATGCCCGGGGAACAATTGGTACGTATATGTACATACACACATACACATATATATATATACACATATATATATCCATCCATCCATCCATTATCTTTACCCGTTTATTCCATTTTGGGTCACGGGGGTCGCTGGTGCCCATGTCCAGCAATCACTGTGCGAGGGGCGGGGTACACCCTGGA